TTGAAGGTTTTTCCTTTGAATAGCTCTGTCGCTGCCGTATTATCGATCAGCGGAAGTTGGGCAATTCTTTCCTCCCGTGAAATTCCCGGGTGACATCTATTTCGGCTAGACCCGAAAGTACATCTTGGACAATGCTTATTTTCGTCAAAGATAATTACGTGATAATCATCATTAAAAATCAATTCGTCGTCAGAACTTCTAAACAACTTGATTTTGAATCTGTCATTCAACAACGCATTGCACGGATTTAGGCAAAATACTGCGAAGCGAAGATCACCCTCAATTATATGGCAGTAAATGAGGTACGTAATATCATTTTTTATGAAAACCACTACGTGGGCGGCTTCAAATTTCATATTCGGGTAAAAGAATTCATCGTAAAATATTGATTGACCATGTTCTTCTTCACAATGGGCTCGAACATCCGTCACTTCTATAGATTTCTCGCATTTGTACATCAGCGGACACTTTATGGTGTTGCGCTGATGGAAAGAATCGGAAGAAGCGTCTTCTTCGGGATTTGGATAGGAAAAGTCACTGTCCATGACTCCTGGAACAACATAAAAACTTGTTCCAATAATTATCACCACTTGATTTGCAATGTTTATTATGAAAACCACACTAGTACGAGAACACATACATTAAATTTAATAGTGCCTTATAAACGAGGCAGGTAAAGATTATTTTGTAAATACTATAATGTCCACTTCAAGTATAATTCTAAGGCCCCAATAAAACTAAACGCATCTCAAAATAAACATTGGTACATAAAATGCAAAAAATGTTATTCAAGACGATGCAATTCAACATTTTTTATATCACAAAGATTTGTTGACTTGAAGAGCCATTACGTTCCACTTCAGGTTTACCTGATGCGTCTTTGCCTCTACTGTTTGTGCGCTACTTCAACTGCGAATGGGGATAAAATCAATGGATAGCTTATAAAAGGTTGCCAATGTGATGTATGATGAGAATAATAACGTTTGGTCTTAGAGGTCGTTTAAGAAATGTCGAATATAGTACACATTAGCTATTTGTACATTTGTTATAAGAATGCCGATGCTTTGGAAAAATATTATTGCAGTAAATAATTGAAAATAATTAAAACGAATCAAATGCGGTAACTGAAATCAAAGAGCAGGTTGCAAAAAATAAACCAAATACTGCAGTGACATATTATACAGAATCTAGGAACTTCTCTAGGCAAGATGGTTAGCGGCAACACAAATACAGAGAAAAAAATCGTCTTATGGATGATATCCTGAAAGACGTAAAGATGTTCTACAACGGTACAGGGAACATAATTTGAATTGTTCAGGGAAATTGTTGTGAAGTAGCAACTTTGGAGCTGTACGAGTCAATCAAAATGAACCAGAAGAAAGAACAAAAAATTTTATTTCTATTATTTATTAAAAAAAAGTGTTTACTTTTTTTTTAATAACTGGCAATTTTTTACATATTTCAATTAATTTGTTATTGTCAAGTTTTTACGGTAGTTGAAGATGAACATTTATTTTTAACTAAAACATACAGGTCGCTAAAAATACCCGAAACAGTTTATTGTTTTTTCGTTATTTTTTCTTGAAGATNGCTTGTCGAAAACTTTTTACATTTTTATCTTGCCATACTTTTGTTACAGTATATCCCTCGTTGACCCAAGTTTCGTCTAGATAATAAATATTCCTCCCTTCGTCACGGAATTAGCATTAGTGTTACCCGATAATTACCTGAAACGAAATATTACCACGCCCATGGCCGGTTTTTATTTTTTACTCTCTTTCATTTCCAAACAGACTATAGTAAAAATACTGAGAAATTCTTCATGACAATGTGTACTCTGGGGTTGCCTATTATTTGGCATATGTGACGTCACTACTAAAGAGGTCTACGATCTAAGGTCTAAGAGAGGTCTAGTTAAAAATGTTGGATGAAATACTAACTCCGAACGATAATCTTTTATAATGATAATGCCCTGAATCTGTAGAAAATACTGTAAGAGCACGATTTTCTTTTTCTAATTCTATTTAATGGAAAGAACTAGCTAAGTATGTTATAGAAAAGTATTTAGCTCTTCCTAATTGACCTATATTAGGCAGTGGAAATTTATATTAAACTATTTTTCTATTTGTCTAAAAATCTATTACTAATCGCCAATCTTGTTTTACTGTACTATACTTCTTTTTTACTAGGTACTAATAATGGTGAGTTATATAGAATGAGCGTTCGATTATATCAGTTTTGAGTAATTTATCTACTTGCTTTTCGACTTCTTCCTTTTGTGACTGCAGTAGTCAATCATTTTTTATGTATACGGGATCATTACCGTTTAAGTAAAAAATGTCATTGTATTTTCTACAAATAGTTTTCACCGTTTCTAAAGCGTCCATGTCTACATTATTAAATTGCAGTTCCTCGAATAACCGTGTCATTATATGGCTAAGCTGCGAATTGTACTCATTTATCGCAGTTGCACAAATTTCGTAATCTGATAGGTAGTGGTTGTGTTTGCAACTTCAGACCGTCAATTACTACACCATTACAAGTCGTATTATTTAATCTTATATGAGTTACACCAAATTTCGAAACTAATATGTTAGCAATAAACCTTTTCTTTTTTTAATTCTTGATTTAAAATTAAAGTGTCTACAATCAAATATCTACCTATAGGACTTACAATTTCTGTCCTCACTGGCGTCTCAATTTTGTTTATACGGGGCAATTAAATTTTTAAAGGAATGATATGTTCTTCGTGATTATGAAACACTATTCAGTTAAAATTTTGTAAAGCGGGCTCCGACAAGCCGCTACTGCCAGATGACTTCACACCTGATGTGATATGATGGGATGGTAAACGAGTAAACTGCAAACTGCCGAGTTAATTTGGCGAAAGGGCATGACCGGTTCACTCTGTAACATTTTTATTTTAGTTTGAGAAGTGTCTAAGGTACAACCTTATAAAGTTCATCATTTCAGTGTTTAGTGACTGTACAGAGTATTTTTTGTTTTCGTTTTTGTGTGATATTATGAAAAAGCAAGCATACGTATTAAGAAAGAGTTGATATGGTGACTTTTTCCAGGAGAAAGCGATGCTGTTACAAGACGATTTCGGATGGATTATCCCGACCTGTAAATACTGTATAAGAAAATGTTTGTAAGTAACTTTGGGCGCCAATACTCTAATGATGGAAGGGGACAAGCTCAAAGAGTGAGAAACTTAAGATCAGAAATTTTGGACGCCGTGGAAGAGGATCCTGGCTCCAATACTCGAAGATAATGTATGTCAAATGCTGTAAAATAAGGTGATCAGATTATTTACTCATGTGTATGCCATTTATCATTATTTATTTATTACTGTTTTGAGTTTTCTGTCAAATGACTTGTTAGGTACTGTTCCATAGTTTATTTCAGCTTGTCCAGCTGCGGAATTTGAGAAAACTTGATTCTAAATGTTAAGGATAGCCTCCTTATAAATATAACCCCCATTCATAGTTACACCCTGTATAGAGGGGTTTGGTAAAACTCCTTTTTCTCAAAATCTCCACAGACAAAAACGTGTGAGAAATCAATAAAATATTGCTTCAAGTATTCGTAGTGGTCTTTGCGGTAAGAAATAAACCAATGTTCACCCAACACTTCTAAATTAAATTTTATTGAAATAACTAAATATCTTAGAAATTAAAATGACTTGATCTAGATAATTAGGATTATTTTTTTCCATTCGCTTCGAGATCCCTATATTATTGTTGCGTAGTTTTTTTTGTGGTGGTGGTCTGTAATATTTAGTTCGCGAACTATTTCATTGCCTAGACCCGCGTGTGTTGCTTTGAGAGTCCAAGATCTGAGACCGTTCGAACGTATCAAGTAGTTCTTTTTTTATTTCCTAAAAATAATCGTTGTTTTTAACTCGTTGTCTCGCAAGTAACATATTTATTGCAAATTTGGCTATTGCTAAGTTTACTAAGCAAAAAGTATCTACAAATTTCATCATTACAGCACAGTAAATTGTATCGCCTTCGCCGCTTAAAATAAAAGGTGTTTCAAAATTCACACTCGGTTTGAATTTGGCGCCATTTGTGCAGCAACGTGTTGCCAACGAAAAAAAAGATACCTGACAGTTCGGGGTTATTAAAAATGGAGCGCTACACGAAAGAACAACGCGTTTTCATCGTTGAGCAATATTTTAAAAATAATGAAGCTTTGGCAACTTCAGTTCGCAATTTTTTAATTAGTGATCTTAAACATTCCGGCCGTTCTTCAACAAGCCGTGGAGGCCTTTTACCCGATATGCTATTCTATACATAATCCTATACTGTACTATGAAATAATAAAATATTTACAATTCTTAATTAAAAACCTGTTTTCTATCAAAATTATTTTTTGCGTGAATTTTGGGCCACCCCTTATAAGAACACATTTTTACACATAAGATCTATCTGTACACTTACAGAGTACATCTCCAGTAATAACTTTCTACAGGGTGTAGGAAGTTTGACTGCCATTACTTCAGCATGAGATAGAGTAATCATAAATGAACAAAAAAGTTATATATTACAGGGGCGTAAGATTAACAGTTTTCAAAATACAGCGAGTATTAATATAACAACAGCGCTTAAACTGCAGATGCACACATGTATGCACGCGGCAGACTTGTCCTACGGAAAAAATGTAAACAGCTATTATCTATTTTGTAGTACGAAGATAGTCTCGAAGGTCCGGGATTCGAAGCGCGGGCGGGTTGCATTTTTTCTTTTTTTTTTTGGAAAATGTTATATATTATTTACCAATCCATTGAGAACACACCGCGGAGCGGTGCTCGAAGAAAGGTCAACTTGCCTACCTTTCTAGTCCTCTCTTAAAATTAAGGCAGTCAAACTTCTTCACCTTGTATATCAGAATCTAAAATACTTTTTCATTACACAATATGTTGGTACGCCACAAGGAAACTCTTTAGATACGTATATCCTGCGTATTATTCATTAATGCTCTTGCGGTAAGATAAAACGAAAACATTTTTTTTATTGCGCGTCCGTCGTCTCATCTAACATGTAGCACGTACCAAATGCTGCTTGAACTGTGCGATTTTACATTTTCATTACGAAAGACTTCTTCAGGTGAGTGCCTCTATAGTTGAACGCATTTTTCTGTAAAATGTACACTTGAAAATTTAAAAAAATAAATAATAATCGTCTTCAACTTTTCGAATTCAAGACCTTCAAGTGTTGTGTACAGAAAACCAAGAGCAAATAGGTTTTAACTGAAACTATACCTATATTTTCCTATCTTTTCGTGTATAATATTATAAGAGGTTTTATCGGTACCTATTTTGTTTCTAATTTTTTTTTTTTTAGTGTACAGACTATATTAGATGTTTTTAAGAGTTTCAACTATACCTATGTATATCATTTTTACTCAATATTACGTTAAATACATTAAAATGTTTTTATTGGAAAGGATAGTGAAAAAATTTATAAAACGCTGTTGTCTTCAGCCGCTGTCACATGTACAATTTTCCTTTTTAAAAATGTTATGCGGCTTCAAAGAATATTTTTTATATCATTCGTTGTCCCATTGGTAGAGTGGCAGACAATGGTCATAATCTATAAAAAAAATATTCCTAATGTATCACTAAATTCATAAAATTTATCAACTAAATATGTCGCTACCTTCCCAACTATAAGTAAACTTCACTTTTTTTTTCTAAATTTGCAACTAAATTTAATATTTTTTACGATCTAGATAGACTTATCTCCATTCAACAGTTAACACTTACTGGAATATAGTTTTGTGAATTTCATTTTGCTACTCAAACATAAAATATCTTAAAAATGAAGTATTTAAAAAAAATAAGAAATAAAAAATGTTGCTTGTAGAGACGTAACTTTTTAAATTGTAATTAAGGTAATTTAAGGGGTTCGTTTCGAAAGGTCTCCACTAGAAAAATTGTACCGAGAACAATTTGAAAAAAAAAAATGGAAAATTAGGAAAAATGTTACTTTTATTAGAATCCGGGATTTAAAGAGTTCAAGCTACTTTGCATGCCAATATAAATGTTAGATATTTAATAAAAATAAATTTTAATAAACACATCATCAGACCATTTCCGCTTTTAGAGGAAAATACATATTTTGAATATAATCAGGACACCAAGAGTATGTTGCTCCGGAATCAGAGTAAATTTTCATACCACCCATCGTAGAGTACGGCTGTGAAGCGTTATTTTTATTAAATGAGTGTTCGGCACAAGTCTCATCATCCCACATAAACGAAAATTTAATTCTTTTAAAATAGTTAAACTATGAAACAGTACCTAATAAGTAACCTAATAAAAATCTCAAATGATGTATGAAGTACACAAAAATAAGTAAATAATCTGTTTACTCACCTGACTTTTTCAGCATTTGACATAGGTACTTGAAATCTTGTGGCTAACATCCGAGTTCCTACTGATTCTGCTTAACTTTAAATTGTCCACGAATAATTTAATATAACGAGCGTTGAAATAAAAACGTGGTCGAAGTTGGCTCTGACACATTGGACGTAGGGAGTAGCTTATAGCGACCAACTTAACCTCATTTCTCAACGAGCTGTATAGCAGCTGTCAGTTTCAATAACGTTAATGACTATATAACTTTATTTTAAAGAATAATCGTGATAACAATAACAAACAATTAAAGGCTGCGGAAAGTGTCCCCCTCCTTGTTATAACAATAAATTAAAGCAGCTGCTGAAAGTGTCCCCCTCCTTGTTCCAAGCACTTTTCACACCTGTTCCTCAAAGAATTAAAGACATTTTCTAAGATGCTCGGGGTATTGTTAATTTCACGAATCTTGTCTATAAGTCAAGCCTGCAGATGGTTTAAATCAGGAATAGGCAGTTCAAAAATAGTGTTTTTAAGGTAAGGCCACAAAAAGAAATCACACGGCGTAATATCACATGACCTCGGTGGAAATTCACGTTCAGCATTGAGACTTATTAGTCGATTTTGGAAAACTTCCCTCAACATATTCATCGTCTCGCCTGCCGTATGTGCCCTTGCGCCATCTTGTTGAAAGTAAAAGTTTGTGATTTCGTTTTCTTCCAGCTGGTTAACAAAAGGAGCGATAATTTCTTCTCTATACCTTTGCGCAGTAAGTTAGCCTACCATTAAAAAAAATAGGTCCATAAATCCTCCTTCGATTGAGAGCACACCAAACTCCAATTTTTTGAGCGTGTAGAGGGCCCTCGACAACAAAGTTATCTGGTTTTTCAGGAGACCACATTCTCATAATCTGTGAGTTTACGTAACCACTTAAATGAAACCAGGCTTCATCAGAAAAAAATGTGATATTATGAAGTTCACCGTAGTTGTTTAAAAACCTCTCACAAAATACAGCCCGTCGCGGAAAATCAACTTCATGAAGTTCTTGCTGACAAGTTAAACGATAGGAGAACAAACGCAAATCTTTTTTAACACTGTGTGGCAGGTACCGACTGATACTCCCACCATTTGTGATAAAACACGTACAGAAGTTCTTGGCGCATTTTCCATTATTTGTTGGACATTTTCTTTTAATTCTTCAGTCCGCTTTTTAGGTCCCTTCTTTTCTTGTTACACTGCCCGTTTCACGAAAAACATTAACACAACGCTGAACTGCACTTTGAAAAATTTTGTACTCAACAACGCCGGGAAATTGATTTTGAAATTCTATGAAACATTCCTCAATAGAATACTTCCATATTCCATCAATCTTGCGTCCATTTCTAAAGTAGGACTCTATGATAAACACTTTTTGTTCTTGAGAAAACACCATTTTAAACGCTTTTTAAAACGAAAATATTCAAATTGATAGCGGCGATATAGCGCTTTGACAGATGACGTTTAAGTTCATTTGCTATACGCTACGCCCTACGTCCAAATTTTCAGAACCAACTTGACCACGTTTTTATTTGAACGCTCGTTACATATTTAACTTATATTGACTGCTGAAAGGGCTGGATAAAAAAAGTATAGTTTAGAATTTTATAACTTTTTAATACTACCTGATTTAACTTTCCTAAATACGCGCCTATGTATTTTAACGTAGTGACGATTTTTTATTTCAGCTAAATTAGGTCATTGTTAGAGGTTATTGACACTGTGATTCAGAAATTAAATACATACACTGCTCAAAAAAATAGTAACACATAATTCTTTATAAAAACTTGAAACGACTTTATTAAATACCCGTACTTCATATCAATCAGATTAGCCTTTTATTTATATTTTTATTACGAACATTTTTAGAAACGGCAAAAATAATTATTTTAAAACATAAATTAGTTTTATTTACAATTAATAACGTATCTACATAACAATGTTATTATACTTAGTATTTAATAAACCATTAAAAATTTTTTTTTTTTGAATAGCATTTTTAATATTCGGCGCTTCATCCATATTGATATAAAAAAAATATGGTGACTTTAAAATGACACGACACGTCGCTAAGCCATCCAAAAGCAATATGTTTTACTATATTATTTTCCAGTTGTTTTAAAAAAGTAACAATGCTGATAGTGCACTGATATAAATTTACCACCCCAATTCCGGGTGCCCCAGTTTATGTTGCTCAGTGTCGGCATAAAAAATAAGAATTAGAGTGCAGTTTAAAAAACTAATTATAATTCGACTATTTATTTAACTGAAAACAAATAATTTCCGATTCGTATTCAGTGGAACACTTGCCCTAAAAAACAGACCCCACTTGATCATGTAATTTCTATAGAATTAACCTAAGGAAGCGACCCCCTTAGTACACGGTTTGCAAAGCAGCTTACGGAGTTAAGTCATTCCAGCCTGACTCACAACGAAATCTCGAATATTTTCGATTATCAAATTTCCGTTCATGCGGTTTGTGTTAAAATGTTCGCGGAATTCAGCGAGGTGCTCTACATATGCGATAATACTACACAGTGTGCGACGACAGATTTGAGTTTATAAAATATATGGAATAACACAAATGGAAAAATCCATACGGCAATGACGTTTTTTTTTTAACTTTGTAACCCCCCTCTTCACACGGAACGATGTTTTCAAAATATGAAGATAATTCAATCAGGTACTTGTTTTTCTTTTCATTGATAATTAGGTTTGTGTTTTTACACAAATTCTTTTAATGTTCCCCAAAGAAAAAAGTCACATTTATTGAGGTCTGGTGATCGTGGAGGCCAAACTTGTGGGCAATTATTTCCTCTTCCAATTCATTATCTAGTTTAAACATTTTCTAACAATATTATTCCAGTCTGAGTTGTAACTTACGTTTTTAATGTCGGGGAGTTACTGAATGAAGAATACTCATGATAGTTATGTAAATTGGTAATACCTCTGTGGGTGAAATGAGCTTCATCAGTAAAGAGAATTTTCTTTTGAAAATTACTGTCTTAATGTAAAATAAACTGACAGAAATTCATTCGTTTAACCAAATTATTCTTGCACTTTTTGGATATGATATGAGTGTATAGCAGATTATGTCTGATCACTCTGAGCACAGAAGTTTGCGATGTACCATTTTGTCGAGATAGAATTCTAGTAGGTACTAATATGTGGGTCATCTTCAATTGTATTCAAAATAATAAGTTCTTGGTCCTGTGCCCTAATTGCAATAGCACGTTCTCGAGTGTTACTGAAAAACTTGCCTGTTTCTCGAGCCCGTCTTTCAACATTGGAAAATGTTTCTCTATGCAGGATTATACGATTTGGAAATCTTCTCCGATATTCTTCAATACTTCTGTAGTTCCTTTCATAGAAAGCTAATACTAATAACATATCAAATTGTTCGCTAAATGAAAACCTCCCGGTCATTTTCAAAACACTCAGCAAAAATTAAATGACTTTTTTCATGATCGTCAAGTTTGACATTTAAATTCATAGCCAACTTTTGAATTTTCGTTGTTCGTTGAATTTGAGTTTTTTGAAAACTAACACGAGAAAGAAAAGTTTTAAAATTAAATTAAAATAAAATAAGGTACCCTTACATGCGCCTGCTCCGTAACTTTTCTTATATAAATAAAACACCCTGTATAACCCCACAGACTAGACCTCCTAACTGTTGATATTACAGGAAAAAAACAGCCCTATTAGTTAGATGCCCCAATTATCACTGAATTGCATCAACAAAAAATTAATCAATATAAAAATAAATACCTGACAAAGTGAAATTTTTAAATAATGCAATCAAGGCAAAGACCAACACGTAGAAATAGCTATTATAGTATCTTACTACTTCCACATTTTATAAGAACGTTGAATAAGTTCTCGCTGTTTTCCACCAGATGGCGTTATCAAAACTGCAAAAGTTTAAGATGGTAATGAAGTGTATACTACTTTTTTTTAAACATGTCGAATTTCGTTCCGAAAAAAGAGTATTTCTGAGGAATTTTACTGCACTATATTATTTTCAAAAGAAATCTGTAGCAGATGAAGAATTGGAGGCATTACTTCATAAAGATTCATGCCAGAATCATTAGGAGTTGATTACATAATAGTTTCGAAACGTTTGATAGCATTAAAAATTGCTCAAATTATAAAAGGACAAAATACTGTCAGAGCTAATAATGAAATACATATTTCTGAAAAGAATTTAGTAAAAAGGGCAATCGATGGTTACGTATTCACATTAATCTCCATTAATTAATATACAAATAATAATAAGTCATATTCAATACTTTTGACACCGTCGACTCAAAATGTAATTTTTTCTAAGTTTTTTTTTTTTTTTGATACACAATTTTGTTATTTAATATTTATTAATTTCATCCGCAAAGAGATGACCTGAAGGAACAATCCTAATAAAATGTGGAAATAGCAAGATCTTTCTATAGTGGCTATTTTTTACATGTTGGTCTTTGTCAAGGGTTAAAACAACAAGAATACAAGATATCTCATTGAAAAATTGCATTTAAGAGTTTCACTATGTCATAGGTATGAGATGATATTGAGATATATTTTTAACTTTTATTTTTTATAATTGCACAGGCATACAAAAAAAGTGCAATTCAAGAGGCCCACATATCATTTCTGAAGAAATTCGATGCACTGAACACGATCCTGTAGTCAACATTCATTACTTGACGATGAATACTCGTTTAGTGTGACGTCATATATATAGGCAACCCGCAACAAATTGTCATAGTTGAAATTGTACAGATCGAATCTGACCCTTGTGTACTATTTACATAGATACTATAAAAATGAACAACTGCAAATGAATTTATTTTTACAAGGATTGAGAAGTATTTAAGAACAAACAACACATGTTTTGTAAAATAGATACACTAATGTGGTTAAAACTTACAAAAGCGATATAAAATAATATTCCTAAATTTAAATAAAGTAAAAACATTAGCCGTGTTATTCCTAAAGCTGATGTATCATTAGCGTATTTTCTCTTGTTTTGTTTAATCTTGACATTTTCTAGTTCTACCAAGTATTTTTTGTTTTTCTTGGTGCGTTGCTGTGCCAGTCTGTTTATCGAGTGTTTTTTTTTTCTTCAAGTGGTTTATTATAGACGTACTCTGAACAAGAACCAAACTTTTCTCCAATGGTATTCTGTTGCGAGACTACTTCGCTTACATGAAATTATCTGTAAGTAATTTTAATTTATTGTATTAATTACTATAAAAGTCGATATTGTTCTATACATTTAAAATTATAAATTCTATAATTCTTTTAGTTTGTCACTTGGGGTTTGAAACTTCTTATGTCCAAAGTACAAAAGGTCGGAAATCGATCTAGTAAAAATACTGAGAAATTCTTCATGTCAATGTGTACTATAGGGTTGCCTATTATTTGGCGCTTGTGACGTCACTACTAAAAAAGTCTATTTCGGAGAAAATTGATTTTTTTTGTGAAAACGCCCAAATATGGGATTTTTTCCTAAATTTTGTCGATATATATTGACTTCATTTGTTAGGATTTTTTTAGGAAACATTTTTTGAGATAGTTTAACGCCTTTAAAATATAAAAAAGTGAGTGTTCTGTACTAATTCAGACTATTTCTAATTTACAGGATGAGGCTAATTTTATTGGCGCTATTCACGGTCAACCATATTGCCCATTTGTTGGCTCAGGAAGAAAAATGTAACCGATCTAATATCATTAAATTCGACGAGTCATGGAAAGTATATCAGATGAGGATATTGACTGATGTGATGGTTTACGAATGCTGCTATTGCAAAAAAAAACAACAGTGCAGTAATAGTGACAAAGATTTATTGGAAAATTGCTTAAAGGACATTGCAGCAGGAAAATCAAATTCCCAATGTAATAAAAGCTATGGGAGACAATTCACTAATTACAAAGCAACTGCAGATCTGCTGTCTGGCAAAATTGTACTGAATGAGTCCACAACTTGCAACTATTTTAATGAATTTTGTTTCGAAAATAACAAGATGGCTGTTTGGAGCAATGAATCAAAACCTTTTAAAAAACTGAAAGAAACGTGTAATTTTAAAAAAATTTCTTTGACAACCGATACATATGCCTTAACGATGAGAAACCAGTATTTAGTTTTCGATGTGATACAAGGTCTTTCTTTGGAGATAATTAACAAATCACGTTTATGCAACAAAACCATTTTCTTAACCAATATAAAAGGAGTGGTACTGTCTAACGACACAATAGATGAATGGGATGATAACTTCCCGGAATTTAATCATAATCTCACTTTCACCTCAAAAAAGGACCTATTAGCTTCCCTAGGACCAAAATGTTTATATGATCACGCGACATTAGGAGACTTGGATTATCAAATTGACGAAATTAAAAAGATTACTTTCTACATACTCATTGCCATTGTATGTTTCATCGCGCTGTACATAATAATAACGTCGCTTAAACTGCTGATAAAGTGTATCGCAAAGATCAAAGAGTCACGCGGCACTAGATCAGAGACACTTAAGACAAATTTAAAATTTAAAAAGGTGAGCAAAAACGGCAAGCATTGTCACGAGTATCCCAGTGGTGCCGCGTACAACATCAATGACTTGTACGGCACACAGCAATGAAATTAACAGTTTTACAGGAACTCTTACAATAAAAAAACACAATAAAATGTTCATACATTTTTCTATAACTTCATTTTTTGCATGTCATATTTTTGCTTTAATATACTTATTAAGTTTTTTTTAATTCCCTGCCTACCATTAATCGATAAATATTATGTAAACCTTCCATCTTATGTTGTGAACCACAGGACTGGGAAACGTAAATAAAAATCTCAATTTTGTTTGTTTTCCTACAAATTCAAGTAATATATTACCCTTGAGTGATAATAGTATATTATGAAGTTAGGAGGATAAGTGATACTTTATTATTATGTGCTAAACATGGAAAGACAATCCATGCCAAGCACATAAATATCTTATTCTCCGAACATCATATATACTATTTTTTTCTTCAAACGTTATAAATTATAGGCAAAATGATTAAAATACCTAAGAAAAAAAAAACGATTTTTAATAAAAAATTGTAACATTGAATTACTTATTTCGCTGTAGTTATCGTTATATACCATAGATGTACAGGGTGGGCAAATAAGCGAGGTAAGCGGCTGTATCTCAAAAACTAATGATCGTAGAGAGCTACGGTAAAAAATTTTATAGGTAAAGTGGGCAAGGGAAAATGCTGGAAATTATTTTCAAGTTTCCAAGATGGCCGCCAGTGGGCGTTTCCACCATCTTGAATTACATAAAGTTACGTTTCTCGCGATTTTCCCCAATGAATGTAACAAAAAAGTATTTGCGTTTTAATGTTAACTTAAAGTCGAATATTTTTTGTAAAAACAATTTTTCTCTATCTTTCGAAATAAAGTGGTGGGGGGTATTTGAATGTTGTTTTAAATAAATGCCTGTAACTTCGAAACGGCTTAATGGATTTGGATAAATTTGGTATCATTGAAAAGAGCATTTCTTGGGCTTTTAGGTTTCTCGTAATCATGACAGTTGCGACCTACACGGCCGCCGATAGAGGGCGTTATTCGATATTATAACCAAAATATTGGATTTTCTCAAAAAATTTAAATGCGATGATATGACTTTTTTTAGACTAGAAAATAGACAAATGACCAACCAATAAGCCTGCGCAAACCGCATCTTAATATCTTTTTCCTAACTCAAATTATTAAAAAAAAA